AAGCAGCAGAAGCAGCAGCAGCAGCAGAAGAAAGAGACAAATAAAAACTAAAATATTATAAACCTCCTTGGGCTCCAAAAGTCTGCATGCACTTAGCCACATAGTTGCAGCAGCAGCAGCAGAAGCTGCTGCTGCTGCTGCTGCTGTTCCAGCTGCTGCAGCAGCAGCAGCTGGAACCCCTTAGCAATGTTACGTTTACCCTCAAAGGCTGCCTCACCAGGGGGCCCCCAAAGGAAAACAGGGGCCCCCAGGAGGGGCCCCCAAGAGGGGCCCCCAGACACAGACGGGGGCCCCCGGGGAGATAGGGGCCCCTAGGGGAGATAGGGGCCCCCAGGGGGGGCCCCTAGACCCTCTTAGGGGCCCTCATGGGGGTCGCCTATGGGGGGCCCCTATACGCCGAGGGGGGCCCCCAGCGGGGGCCCCCAAAGGACCTCTAGGGGCCCCCAGGGGGGGCCCCTACAGGCAGAGAGAGGGGGGGGCCCTGGTATTTCTTTGATTGGGGGTTTAGGGTTTGGTTGGGGTTTTGTTTATTCTTTTGTCTCCTTTAATTGATGCGAAGGAAAGAGGAATCTCCTTGAGGGTTTAGGGTTTAGGGTTTAGGGTTAATTTGTTACTTAGGGTTTAGGGTTTGGGGTTTAGGGTTCAGGGTTTGGGGTTTAGGGTTTAGGGTTTAGGTGGAGATACACCCCGAATATAGAAGGAGAAACGCCAGCAACACACACAGCTATAAACTGTGCTGCTGCTGCTGCTGCTGCTGCTGCTGCTGCAGTTTATGTTGCTGCTGCTGCCGCTGCTGCAGTTTGTTGCTGCTGCTGCTGCTGCTGCTGTTTATTATATACAGCTGAGGCGCAGCACGCTCTTCGTGTTGCTGCTGCATCTTTTTTTTATTTATTTTTTGTCTCCTTTTTTTATTTGTTTGTTTTTGTTTCTTTAGTTATTTCTATTTGTTTTTGTTTGTTTATTTCTGTTTCCTTTTCTCTCTATTTCTTTGTCTCCTTTTTCTGTCTCCTTTCTGTCTCCTTTCTGTCTCCTTTCTGTCTCCTTTCTATCTCTTTTTTATTTCTCTTTCTCCTGTCTCCTTTCTGTCTCCTTTCTGTCTCCTTTTCTAGGGGAGCCACAAAGGAAAACCTAAACCCTAAACCCTAAAACCCTAAACCCTAAACCCTAGGGTTTAGGGTTTTGTTATAACGATATAAACCACTATATGAGGCTAACAATTCTCTTATTATATTTTTATAAGAAATATAACAAAACCCTAAACCCTAGACCCTAAACCCTAAACCCTAAACCCTAAACCCTAAACCCTAAATAACCAAAAATTCAGGATATTGTTTGTCTTTATTTAATATTATTAGTTGCATACATTAAATATATAACTGAATATAAATATATATAAATTATATATATAAATATATATATATAATATAAATATATATATTATAAATAATATATATGTATATATATATATATATATA